AGGGACTAGCTGCTTTCCGTGACGGCGCTACACTGTTGCATTGCATATAGACGGTGGCATGGTGCTTTGTCTCGAGCTCATGATTGAGCGTCAGAGGAAAGCGTGTGGATTTATGAGAGAATTGGAAAGAATAGATGGATGACGCCTGGCAGCTGCCAGTATTGGATACTACATGGCTATGTACGAGGTACGGGTGTTAGATGCCGCCTTTCGGGGCTGGCTACTCGAATGAATGGTTTTAGCGTCAATCTCTGGATGCACCGTAGCGTGTTTTGACCTGACCGTGTCGTCTGTCGCGAGATGCCTTGCTGTTCAGAATGAGAAAGGTTGAGGATGGATGGGGAGGCTTCAGAGTGACCAAAGTGGCCGTCGTTGACATGCCTCACATACCTCGTCTTTCAGTGGCCTGATCAAGTGGCTTCCGTGACACGCTGTTTTGAAGGCCTGCTACGAGATCTGAACCCCGAGAGGTGCTAAGCTTGGGTATTTTTGCTCCGATCATGTGTTGATCAACTCGAACGCCGAGCGAGACTAAAAAAAACCCATCAACCCACCAAATCTGCTATACGCGGTAGGGGATCGATCCGACACGGATATGCATCATTTGAGATGAGAGATTGGGCCTCGCATACCAAGTACATGTCACACTTGTTCTAACATGGAGAGTATTGGCAAAAGAGTTCAGGACCGAGTCGGTCCCTACATCTCTGTCGTCGGTTCTCGATTTCATCGCCGCCCTTCAGAAGCTCAATTTTTTTTGGTCTCCCCCTCTCGCCTCCCCCTCTTGCCTCCCCCTCTCCGGCTGCCGGACTCGAACTCGGATGGTTGTGAGGGGTTTTTGGAATTGGTTCTGGGGACGGTGGGATGGTTCGTTCGGCGGCGTATACGACTCGGCCACGGTGGCTTTTTTTCGGTCGTCGACGGGAGGAAGGGGACACAGGTTGCTTATGAAGGGCAGCGAGAAGTCTGCTGGTGGCCGTCAGGGTGTTGTCGATGTCATGGCGTGTTGGCCAGCCACAAAGCATATACCCCCTTAGGTACGGTATGGTGTTGAGGCCTCTTCGGGGTGACATGCCACCAGGGTGCACGCTGTCCGAGATGATCATGTCCTTCCAAGAATGGCGAAAGTGCATTCGCTGACATCTCGCGTTCCTCGGCCGTAGACCTCCAGCTGCGCTTGAAAGCTGATGAAAGAAGAGTCCTCCCCACCGTGCCCCGCGTCTCACGTCCCCTCCTCACATCCCATCCCCCCTCCCTCCAATCCCGCCCCCAACCTGGTTGACCCCCGTCCCCTTGACCGCGTGATCGCTCGGCCGCGCGGCGCTCTCGTAGACGATATTCGTCGGCGCCCGGCCGAGCGCCGTCCACTCGCCGCGAAAGCCGACATACGAAAGGCGCGTGACGTCGTCGTCGCCGGCGGAGAAGTTGTCCGGGAAGAAGAGCGTCAGGCGGCGGACCTTGGCGAAGAGGGCGCGCCGCACGGGGATCTCCTGCACGTCGGACGTCTGCGCGAGCTCAAACGTCTGCGTCGGCGGGCTGTCCTCGGCCGACGCGAAGTCGAGGTCGTCGCGGTTGAGGAAGACGTGCAGGGTGCGCGGCGCCGAGGGCGCGGGGGACGTGCGGAGGAGGAGGGCGTGGAGCTTGACCTGGGCGGTGAATCTGGGGTTGTCCCTCTTTCGTCAGCATGGCTTCTCGGGACGCCGTCATGGGGAAAGCACCGCGGCCTTTTCTTGGGGGGGGGGTGGCATCTTCGGCGATGCGACGCGGGGTGGCAAAGCTCGCGGAGACTCACGGCACGGTCATGAGCAGCTGTTCGTCGGCGTCGCTCTCGAGCTCGACGTCCACGCTGAGCCGGTCGGCCCATGTCTTCTTCACGATGGCTCGTCCGCTGTCGGGCACGGCCTCGTTGAGCGTCGTGATCTCGTCAAAGTTGATCTGCTGGTACAGCGAGTGCTGCAACGCCGGCGTGATGTCGTCTGAATGGTCGTGCTCGTGGCCATGGTGGTCATCGCCACCGTGGCTATGATGCTCGTGCGAGCAGGACATGGCGCTTGGTACGACTTTCGTTCGATGTGCGTCTTCTGTCAGTAAGATGTTAATGGTCAATTGGACTTCTTAATCGGTGGGCATGAGGTTGCTGATGAAGGGTCGCGACGTTGGATGAGGTTGGCGGGGAACGGTTGTGGGTGGATCGTTTGTCACGGACCCAGTTTCCTCGTCAAGACGACTGTTGAGCTTGGGAACATGACAATAGCCCGGCATAGGTCATCATATTTCCAATCCTTTGGTGGTCACTACAATCATGCATGCCATTCTTTCTCTTGCCAGGTAAACAACCATGTTCTATGCAATCTCACATTTCTCCAATTATGGGTATCTCAAAACTACGGCTAAACAAACCAACTCCAAGGTCCCTGCATCCTAAAATCCACCCCTCCGCTTCGCCTTCTTCTTTCCCTGCGGCCGCCGCCCATGTATCCCTGGCACTGTCTGCGACATGATCATAGCCGGCGCCAGCTGCGATGAGCTTAGCATCTGTGATGACGGCAACAGCGGTCGGAACGCGATCTGGGGCTGCTGTGAAACGGCCGGCGGCAAGACCAGCGAGCGAGCCGGCATGGACGGCGAGGAAGGTAGCCGGGGCATCTGAGACGACGTTGCAATATCCTGGATCGCAGCCTGCGAAGAACCGTCCATGATGCGGCTACGCTTCTGTCGCCTCGATTCTATCCGCTGGAATCGACTTCGGACGGCCTCCAACCGCTGAGACGAGGCCATGAGGACGCTCGACTGGTATTCCTGCATGGGCACGCCACGCTCTTCTGGCCAGTACGAAAGAACTGGGTGAGGCGGGCCTGCAATCTTGGCCTCCTTGTTGACGTGACGGGCGAGCATGCTGAGCCGCTGCAGCGCGCCCGGGACACTCTTCTCCTGAGACGCTAGCTGTGATGTTTGAGATTGAGAGCTCTCAAGCTGTGAGCTCTCGAAATGCGACGAAGGGCCGGGAGATACAGAGGCCGTGGCGCGGGGTGTCGGATAGACCGTCCGCTGCGAAGACACCGCCTGCGATGGTTGTTTCGGTCCTTTCGGTTCCGGCACCCAAGATGTGAGCCCGTCGTGGGTTTCGGATGAGGTAAAATCAAAAGCCATAACACCGACGAGGGACCTTATCGAAGCCTCGACCGTTTCTGCCAGCGCGAGCCGTCTCGAGATCTGTGCCTCAGCCGAGGCATCTGTGGCCGGCCAAAGCTCTTCGCAATGTCGCCGCAAAGCTGAGAAGGAGAGATTGGCATCCGCAGGTAGGCCAAAGAAGCGGGCTGCCGTTGACTGGATGACAATTCGCTGGTCGTTGAGACCGTAAAATTCATGCAATTGCGCATCCCAAGCTTCTTCGTCGGCCTCGTCGATCGGAGGAGCTTCCATTGCGGGCTGATAGTCTCGCCTGTTCATGTCAGCACGTGTTTGCATCAAGATCGCTGCGTGTCAATCTTACAATGTGCTCAGCGGCAGCTGTTGGTCCTCCATACCGAGGCATTGTGCCACTGCCCGATGGATTAGGTCGAAGCCCTGAAAGGGGCCTTTAGCCTCAACCCTTCGACTCTCCATCGCCACCGTCTCCATCGAAACTCCCACGCGGAAGAACAGCAGGTCGATGCCCTCAACCTTGCTCCTTGGCCAACGTCGTGCGGAGCCTGGACCATCCTGTATGAGTGCTAGGTCCCCGCCAGCGCCTTGCCTGAGTCGGAAGAGTTCATCCATCTCGCCAAAGGCGTCTGGCACCGCAAAAACTTCGGCAAGCTGCTGGATGAAGGCTGTTCTTCGCTGATTCACAATCTTTCTCTTCTTTCCCGTCACCTTGAGCGTGTTAGGAACGCGAACGTCATCGTGAGAACTAGATGTGGCCACCACCAGCGAGCATTTTAAACCAAGATCTTGATTCAGGACAAATAGTTGCCAAAAATGGTCGTCACGGTCCATGTGTGCTGCTCCGGGGCCCGTCGAGGGCGTGGAGGCGGTCAAAATGGCTGGTGCGAGGCAAAAAGTCTGCATTTCGAGGCCATTCTCATCCTCTCCTTGGCCAATGCCCGGTACGCGGACCATGTGATGCTGGAATTGAGGCAGGCTCGTCGTCTCGTGTGTGCTGAAGGCGTAAATATCGATATCGGGATTGCGGCTTGAATGTAAGCAAACAAGGCTAGCATCGTCGCCGAGGCTCGACCAGCCATGATGCACCTTCAGCTTCAGAAATCGATTGTTGGCGCTACGTAGGTGGGCGCACGATAGGAGAATCCTGGGTCCACTTGCGGTCTGGCCAGCTGCCACTGGCGGAGAAATCTCAATCCAGAACAAGCTCGTAGTCGTCAGGACGAAAATTTGGCGCTGGTTGGCAGGGTTTTGTTTGACATCAAGGATCAAGTCTTTGGGCGTTGTCCGTACTGGACAGTCGAGAATGGTTGATGTGACAGTTCGCAAGTCAACAAGTGCAAGTTGTTTTTGACTCCAAACAATGAAAGCCGTAGCTCGCGAGGAAGCGCTTGGAGGAATGCCCCCAGAGTCCACCGCTGCCACCAGCGCAGCGTCCCAGTGATTCCAGTCTGACCCGGAAGTGCCGATCCACAATATGCCGTGCGTCGCCGCCAGCATTGTCGTCTCGGTCTGTGTTGGCGTAACGTCGAATATTCCCTGCTCAATGTGGCCGTGGAATCGAAGATCGGGCTCCAATCCGGGACGCGTGACTTTGAACCGGCCCTGCATCTCCCACACGTACCAATATCCAAAGTCGTCTACCACGGCCAAAAGTTCCGGCTTGCCCTCCGACCCTGGGCAGTAAGAAACATCAGCATGTGGGCGGCCTCCAGTGTCGTGACTCGAGACCACCATGACAGGCTTTGGGTCGATTCGTGAGGGCCGTTCGCGATCCTCTCCCACGCCTGAATGTTCCCTAGCCACAGGAATCGTCCGATACTGTGGCTTGAGGACCGTTGTTGCCAGTTTCTTCTGCACAATAATGTAGCGCGAGGGCTCATTTCCCACCAAGCTCATTGCTGCCTTGACCTGCAAGATGGGGCTGTCGTCATGCGCCCAATGGGCCACCTCGTCGGCGTCGTCGGCGTCAAGGTGTAGTCGATGGAGTGCGGGGCTCTGATGCGTGCCCCAGCGCCACGTCGAGTCTCGAAGAGCACAAAGACGAAGGAGCTGTCCGGATTCGCCTGCAGCCATGGCGATGACAGGTCTGACGCGCGGGCGTCGGGGATCCGTGAGATTGGCCATCTGGCCGATCGCCAGGAGAGGATGATTCGCAGACCGCGTGGCGTCATTGGACTCGCACATGAGGTCTGAAAGGAGATCGGACATGCCGGTGAATGCCTCTGGGTGAGTGCCGGCCAGCCATCGCTTGTGCTGTTTCTGCAGATCCCAGCTGATGGCGTTTGGCTTGACCGTTGTGGATGAAGGGTACCACACATCTGGCTGTTTCACAATGTGAAAGTTGGGTGCTGCAACTCGATCAGCAGTTGTTCCGTACTGTGGGGTGAGAATAACCACCTACCTTGGCTTGTAGCCCTGCTCGCATGAAGCGTCGGCACGCCATCGTCAGTCCCTTCATAGGGCAAGAGAGTGATCCGCGTGGGACCATACACGCGGTCCCTCTCATCCACGGGCGCAGCCATCCGACCTGCGCGAGTCTGTCAAGTCCAAGTCGGCGCGGTGCAATTCCAAAACCCTCCTTCTCATATCGTGAAGATGAATGAGTCGTCGGCGGCGCATGATTTGGCGAATAAGGACCGGCAGAGCGAGGGTCGGTCGACAGCCCGCAGCGAGAGTTCGTTGCCGGCTACCTAAGGTAGGCAGGCGAGTGGCACCGGACGCGGAGAAGGGTTGGCATGCGTAGCCGGCTGAGGGGTCGTCAGGACGGAGGGACGACAAGTCCAGAATCTCAAAATGAAGTTTGATGAGCGAACGGGTTCGGAAAATGATTTGCCAGGCCAAGGTTCCCCTGTCGTTCCATGTCGAAGAGAAATTCTGCAGCTTGGGACCCATCGCCGGCCGGCGGCAGAAAATCCGGGGACGCCGTAGATTAAGCGTCAGACGGGCAAGGCAGGTGCCACCGCCACGCAGCTGGGAACAGCAGGCGCGACGGACCCACCACTTTAGCACCTGCCGCTGGCCTACCTTACCTCACTCAGCCAGCACATACCCAGTACGCGTCTGCCTTTGGTCTCAACAACACAAGTGAGACGCTCAGTCCCGCTCCTTCAACTCCTTCTCGTTCATCCAGGCGCGCGCGACATCGTGTCAAACCATGATATAGAATGCCGCCTCCCGCCGATGAACGCAAAGAGAAGCAGGCCGCTGCCCAGCAGGCCGTAGACATTTTGCACGAGATCTCGACCATCCTCGTCAGTGCCCCCCATTTCCGTCTCAGTGATCTCGGGCGCCTCCTCCCATTCCGCCGCCAACCTCAGGCCTGACTAACGCATAGTAGAACTGCCAGCTCGACCGCCGGACGTTATCGATCTGCATCTCAATGATTGAGAATGGCGTGAACCCCGAAGCGCTTGCTGTGAGCTGTGCCCCCTGCCTGTTACGATATGACCATGACCCCAATGTACTAGACACTGACGTGAGAGGTAGACGGTTGTGAAGGAGCTGAGGAAAGAAGCTCAGGAGGTCGAGTTGGATATCAAGGCCAAGGAGACCAGTCAGAGGAGAAAGTGAACGACCAGCGGTGCATTTGGATGTTGGAGAAACTGTGAGCTGCCAGCGCAACTCATCACAACCAGTCACTGGGCGCAGCGGTAACATCGTGACGAAGAATAATCAGATACTGGCAAGCTAAGCTGCCACCTTTATGTAACGCCTCATGACCAAATGTTCATCCTTGAGCGAAAATTCCGTCGCCGTATCACGCATGTAACCACTCTGTCCCAGCCAAGCCATACCAACGCCCAAGCAAGAGAAGACCGGCATATGAGAATTCCATATCCCCATCCATACATCCGCCCGAGGATATGTCTCATTCCAGTCATGATGCAAAAAATAGAGCAGGAGAAAAAAAAGCATGCAAACACCGTGATCCAGATCGCTATCAAGGTCCCCTTGTCTTTCATGTACGTTGAACCGCAGCTTAATACTTAGCGGTGCCCGAAGAGCACTATTTCGTTCTCGTCGTCTTCCTCCTCTTCATCGTCCACCTCGTCGTCGTCATCGCCACCAGCATCGTCCGAAAGGGACTCCACGTCGTCTTCTTCCTCGTCAGATGACCGGTGAAAACGGGTGCCCCATAGGCCGAGCATGTCTTCATCAGAGTCATCAGCATCGTCCGCATCATGTACAGCCGTTCCCTCGGGTACGGGTACGGCCAACCCAAGCGGCAGGGGCGGCGACGCGGACCTCGCCAATCGATCAGGCAGCGGTCCGGCAGCCCGGAGCTGCACGCCCGTCAGGGATGAGTGGCGCCGTCTAGGTGTGCCTGGCACATCCACCGCGCCCAATGAGCCAGTCGACTCGGTAAGAGGGTTCGCCGCCGGATGACCGGTGGCGTCTTCTGGAAACGGACTGTTCTCTAGTCGAATCTGCGCCGTATTGTACGAGTTGCATATGGCGCATTTCAGTCCGAGCCAGTGATAAGGGACGGTGCTCTTGCCGCTGCAGTCGTTGCACAGAATCACGGCACGAGTGTTGCGCAGCTCCAAGGGCATGGGCTGGCTGAGGATAGATAGCTCCAGCTGCCTGAACTGGCTCTGCATGTTCAGGAGGCTGCGGTTGCAGATGGGACACTTGTAGGAGCTCTGCATGTGCTGGTCATAGCATTTGGCGTGAATACTGTGGCCGCAAACCATGAAGACAACGGGCCTCGGAGAGGTAAACATGTACTCGCCACATATCGGGCAGTCGCAGTCGGTAGACCGCTCGATGCACTTGTGTGAATCTTGAATAGATATCGAGATGCAGGCGCAGCATTTCTGGGAGTCACAAGGTTAGCTGATGATGACAGAGACGACAACATGAGCGCAGCACACCTTGCAGTGGAAAAAGTCCTTTCCCAGGCCCCGGCCACGCCGACAGATGCCGCAATCGCTGCAGTGGTAGATGCTCTTGTTAGGATTGTTGTCCCACAGCTTGCAAATGTTGCAATAGTAATGAGCCGAGACCTCGCCGCAGTTGACGCAGGCCTCGCCAGCCTTCTGCGGACAGGCGCACACCATGCACAGCATGTTCCTAGTATCCTTCCTGATAAGGGCGTGTTTCTCGGCGGCGTCGTGACAGAAGCGGCACGTGTACCAACGGTCGCACGTCGAGCACTGAAGCTTGACGTTGCGGGCATAGTGTTGGCATCCGAGCTGCTGTGGCTGCGATAGTATGTCTTCGATGATCTCGGGCGTTGCATCTTTCGGGAAGCGAGCGGGCACAAAGGTCGGCTTGATGTCGTCGGCCGAGAGTTCAAACTTTTCTGCTGTCGCCGGGTCGCCGGGGGCTGATTGCCAGAACTTTAGAGAGTCGAGGGCGCCGACAGGGACGATCTGTTCGAGAGCTTCGCCCGCCGTCAGCCCCAGCAAAGAGCCTCCGACAGAAGCAGCCGCGGCCGGCGTGGTTGTAGCAGCAGGATGGGCGGTGGGGATCGAGGAGCTGGCGGTCGCGCTGGCAGTGGCGACGTTGGTGGATGCGTAGGCATCGACATCTGCGGCCTGCGAGCGACGATAACCTTCCATCAAGGCCTCGTGCATCAGGCGGGCCTTTTCTTCCGGGGGCAGACCCTCTTGGGCTTGAATGGCGATCAAACGCCTTCGCAGTGAGCCCATGCCATCGTCCTCTGGCAACGAGGACAGCGGCTTGGGCGGCGGCGAGGGCGTAGCGTAATTGTAGGGCAGCATGGCTGCTGGTGACTGAACTATGGCATCGGGACGACGACCTTGTTCCAAAATGTCAGTGGAGATGGTGGCTGCGGGAGGAGGGCTGGTTGTGGTGGTGGTGTTGGTGGGGGGGTTGATGTCGCGAGGCGTGAAGACAGGCACGGCAATCGGTTCTGTTGAAGCTCGGAGGGGTCGGTGTCGGATTTGGCTTGAGGGCGGCTGCTGCTGCTGCTGCTGCTGGTCTGGGGCGGATGGCTCCGGCAGCCGGGCCTCACTGTCATTAACCTGGTCTGGAGATGGGTCGTTCACATGCTGATTCTGTTGCGGAAACCCCAAGAAGGCCAGGCGCTCCGCCAGGCTTCGTCTAGGGTCCGCCACATTGACAGGCTCCTCGTCTAGAGTATTCCTTCGCTGTTCAATCTCCGAGAGCCGTCGAGCTTGCCGAATGACTGGATTGATGATGAAGTCGGCAACCAGAGAAGACATGGAGAGAGCCTGGGCTCGGCGCGGTACAAGGTACCTTGGACGAAGGGTGTTGTGGGGTGCCTTTGGGTGCTAACGAGAGGTATCAGGTACTCGGCGCCACTGGGTCGGTCGAGAAAGGTCCTGATCACAACAACTGGTCGCGCACTATGGTATGGATTGAGCTGGATGAGAAAAGAAAACCAAAAGCACTTTTCAGCAAGGATAGCTTTGGCAGTGGCGAGAAGGAATAGTACAGATCGGAATCGAGTAGAACTCAAAGAGAGCGGTCGCGAGATCGTCAGAACACAATTGACCCCTCGCCAGAAGTTCAGACAAAGGCGGGGGGATGGATATATGGATTCGGGGGTCAGAGGCTGGGGGGTAGGTTCGGGCCAGGCCAGGCCCGGGAGGCAAAAGTCTGGTGATCGTTTCTGGGCGAGGGGACCAGCTGTCCGCATGACATAAGGGCATTCAGTGTGTTCTCTCGCGTTTCTGCTTTTACAGTGTCTCTACCGCCTGCTTTCGGACTGGCTCACGCTCGATTCATGTCTGTGAACGTCCGACTCGCTCTGAGCTACCCCTAGTAGCAGCCCCCTTTCGTAGATCGTCGAACTGTAGCTGCTAGTCAATCGACGCCACAGCGTGCCCCCCCCAAACACACACGTGTTGATGACCGAATAGCTGGTGATGAGGAACGACCTATCTGCTGTATTTCAAGTGCACGTGCTTCGACGAGAGTCAAGAAGTTCGGTCTTCAAGACAACCTAACATCGAAAGTCAGGCCGATCCGGCTTGTTGGCGTCAAGGTAGTGATCTGCGGCAAGGTCCGGGACGGTAGCTCCGCAAGGCATGAGTATTCTTAGTATCAAAAGTCACTTACAAGGTCCCATGCAATTTATGATGCCATTCATTAGACAGACATTTTGCTTCGGTCTTTGCCTTTCCTTTCTCCCTCTGCACGGAACATCGCCAAACAAGGAATATTGAGCAATGCCAACCTGGCCTTTTACAGGATGGCTTTTTGCTCGTGGGGCATCGAATCAGCTCGAAATGGATGGCTGAATGCCCCATCTATTCTTCCGTGTTGGTGCGAGGGAAGAATGGACAGAGTCAGCCAGGAGCTGCGGAGTGGGAAGGGTGGTCGATAAAGGGGATTCAGGGGGGAAGGGTGGGGTCGCCTCATAAAGACAGTGTCAATATGCGGCGTGGTATCTTGAGACTGTGCAAATATGTGGTATTTCGGTCGAATTGTACAGTCCCAGTCGTCTAGATATACACTGTCTCGACGCGCATAGGTGGCATTTACTTAGGCCCAGGAAAGCTGCAGGCGCGTCAGCAGCTTCTGAGCAACAGGCACAAGGGGAACGAACGCTTCCGCACTCGACAAAAACTTCCCACGTCGGCCCAGCTTCGTGTCGTCGAATGCTTGCCGCTCTACTCCTCTTCTTCCCGGTAGTCTTTTTTCTGCTGGACCGGCCTCTTCTCATCAAGAAGGGCCTCAATTGCTGCTGATTCATCGTCGTCAGCTGCTCCGGCAACTTCTCCTTGACCCTTTTGTTGGTCCCTTTTGTCCTTGAGTTCCTGACTCGTCCGATCATTCACATCCTCAATTCGAGCCGAAGAGCTACGAGCTCCCCCCCTTTCCACCAGCGCCTTCGCCGACCGCGCGACCCTCCATCCGCCTCGTCCCCTAGCCGGTGTCAACACTCTGCTGTGTTTCGGTTTATTCGTCTTGATAGTCATACGACATCTCAGACTGTCCCAACATGGCTTCCAGTAAGCCCGTTGTCGCCTCTGGCGCTGACGTCGGCGATGGCGTCAGGAGGCGTCCCATCGCCGCCGGTCAGTCCGTCCCTGTGACGGCCAAGCCCGAGGTCGACAACAAGAAGCAAATTGCCAAAAAGGTATGTGGTTGATGATGAATATCACGCCTGCTCCGCTTGTGTCTTGTGCATCTGCTGACGTATGGTCTCCAGCAACCCACCGCCCTCGACTTCCTCGACGAGTGGGAATTCATCCTCGCGCCCCTCATCTTCACGGCCGTGGCTGTCTTCACCCGTCTTTACAAGATTGGTCTCAGCAACATCGTGACCTGGGACGAAGCGCATTTCGGCAAATTCGGCAGCCACTACATCAAGCATGAATACTACTTTGATGTCCATCCGCCTCTGGGCAAGATGCTCGTTGGTCTCTCCGGCGTTCTTGCTGGCTACAACGGCTCCTTCGAGTTCAAGTCTGGCGAGAAGTACCCCGCCGATGTCGACTACACCTTCATGCGTGCCTTCAACGCCTTCTTCGGTATTCTCTGTATTCCTCTGGCCTACTACACCGCCCGCGAGCTGAAGCTGCGTCGCCCTGCTGTCTGGCTCGTCACCCTCATGGTTCTGTGCGAGAACTCGTACACCACCATCAGCCGCTTCATTCTGCTCGACTCGATGCTACTTTGCGGCACCGTGCTCACCGTCTTCTGCTGGAGCAAATTCCACAACCAGCGTCACAACAGCTTTGAGCCCGAGTGGTTCCTCTGGCTGTTCCTCACTGGTCTCAGCATCGGCTGCGTCTGCAGTGTCAAGCTCGTCGGTCTCTTCGTCACCTCTCTCGTTGGTCTCTACACCATCGAGGACCTCTGGAACAAGTTTGGCGATACCAAGATGCCTTTCACGACCCTTGGTGCTCACGTGATCAGCCGTGTCGTTGGTCTCATAGTCATCCCCCTGCTGGTCTACATGCTCTCCTTCGCCGCCCACTTCGCCATCCTCGACCACTCCGGCCCCGGCGATGCCCAGATGAGCTCCTTGTTCCAGGCCAACCTCAAGGGTACCCAGGTCGGAAAAGACAGCCCTCTTGAGATTGCTTACGGATCTCGTGCGACTATCAAGAATATGGGCTATGGTGGCGGTCTACTGCACTCCCACGTACAGACCTACCCCGAAGGCTCGAACCAGCAGCAGGTTACTTGCTACCACCACAAGGACACCAACAACGACTGGTTCTTCTACCCCAACCGCGACGAAGAGCCCTACGATGCCGAGGCTGAGCCTCGCTACATTGCTGACGGCACCACCATCCGTCTCATCCACGCTCAGACTGGTCGCAACCTGCACTCGCACGAGATCGCCGCCCCTATGACCAAATCCGACAAGGAAGTTTCCTGCTACGGCAACCTGACTGTTGGAGATGCCAAGGACCACTGGAAGATCGAGGTTGTCCGCGATGCTGCCTCTCGCGACCGCAGCAGGGTTCGAACCCTGACGACCGCGTTCCGCCTCAAGCACCCTGTGCTCGGCTGCTACCTTCGCGCCGGCAACAAGAATCTCCCTCAATGGGGTTTCAAACAGATCGAGGTGACTTGTACTAAGACGAACAACCCCCGTGACACGTACACTCACTGGAACGTCGAAGCCCACTGGAACGACAAGAGTAAGTGCACCGTCCTCCTGCCATGCGCATGAAATCAAGCTGACCACCTCGCAGTCCCCAAGAGCGACCCTGGTGTCTACAAGTCTCCCTTCATCCATGACTTTATCCATCTGAATGTCGCCATGATGACCTCCAACAATGCCCTCGTTCCCGACCCCGATAAGCAGGACGACCTCGCCTCGCACTGGTGGCAGTGGCCCATCCTTGACGTCGGACTGAGAATGTGCAGCTGGGACGACTCTGTTGTCAAGTACTTCCTCCTTGGTAACCCCTTCGTCTACTGGGGCACCACCCTGGGCCTTGGCGTCTTTGGTCTCGTCATCGCCTGGTACGTCCTCCGCTGGCAGCGTGGCTTTGGCGACCTCAACTACAAGGAGGTGGACCAGATTCACTACGCCGGTGTGTACCCGGTCATCGGTTGGGTTCTCCACTACCTGCCATTCGTGGCCATGGCCCGTGTGACCTACGTCCACCACTACTACCCTGCGCTGTACTTTGCCATTCTGACGTTCGGCTTCCTTGCCGACTGGTTCCTGCGCAACAAGAACAAGACAATCCAGTACGCCATTTACGGAGTTCTTTACCTTGTCATCATTGGCTTGTACATCAACTTCATCCCCATCTGCTTCGGCATGGTTGGATCGAACAAGCAGTTCAGCTACCTGAGGTGGTCTGACAAGTGGAGGATCTCGGACCCCATTGTCTAAAGTCTCACATTGTGACTCATATCACATGGCCGTGATACGATAGTGACGGGACAATCAAGAGTCCTGAGAAGAATGACACCATAGCTACGGATGAATGATGACATTTTTTTTTCATCCACCTCTTCAACAACTTGTAAGGACAAGGCCAGAAGGAGGCACTTGGGGCATGGGGAGTTTCCTGCGCTTTGGGCAAATCGTACAATGGGAGGAAAAATACAGCAAACTCAAAGCTACTTTAATGCAAGATGAGAACCGTTTTTTTCTTTTTTCTTCTGACTTGAGTCTCCAAGATTGTATTCGATTGAATTAATGATCGCTATGACGAAGAGTAGGTAATGTTACAGGCCTTTACAGGCGACACAGTGGGAAGACCAATGGCAATCAACTAAGAAATCGACGTCGGGTATTTCGTCGAATACAGACAAGACATCAAAATTCAGCAGCTGCTCTCGCTCGCAGCATTCTTCTCTCTAACAGCACCCGCCGCCAGTCTTGGCCGCATCGCCCAGCCGGATCTGCTTGTTCCCGCCCGCCGTCTGCCCCTTGACGCCCGACCGGCGATCGTTCAAATCGTACTTGCCGGCCTGGATGTTCAAGAAGATGCGCTCAGCAACCCGCATGAAAGCCTTCTCCACGCCCTCGCCGCTCTTGGCGCTCGTCTCGACGTACTCGAGCACGCCGTTCTTGCGCGCCCACGCCTCGGCCTCGGCCCGCGACACCTCGCGCTTGTCGGTGCCGCTGCCGCCGTCGCCCGTCGCGGCGAGGTCGGCCTTGTTGCCGACGAGGATGACGACAATGTCGGGCTCGGCAATCTGGCGCAGGTCGTTGAGCCAGTCGGTGACGTGCTCGAACGTCTGGCGGCGCGAGAGGTCGAAGACGAGGAGGGCGCCCGAGGCGCCGCGGAAGTAGGACCGCGTCACCGATTTGTACGTCTCCTGGCCGGCCGTGTCCCAGAGGGACAGCTTCATGTGTTTCTGCGGGGGCGGGGCGTCGGCGGCGGAGGGGGGCGGGGGCGCCCGGCGGGGTTCGGGCAGGCCTTCTGGTTTTGCCGGTGCGTTGGCTGGGGGTGTTGTGGAGGCAGGATTCGCGGCATCGTCGTCGGTCGTCGGGATGGCGGCTGGTGGTGGCGGTGGCAGGGAGTGAGGGGGCCCAACGGGCACGATGCGGGAGCCGAACTCGACGCCGATGGTTACGTCGTGGTGCGGGGAGAAGCGGCCCTCGCAGAGGCGGATTGTGAGACTGGACTTGCCGCACCCCGAGTCGCCTATGCAGACAAGCTTGGCGATGTAGTCCCAAGGTGGTGAGGACATGATGGGGAGGGATTGTGTGGTGAGGGAGGAGGAAGTGGTGGTGATCGTAAGGTGATCGTCTGTCGAGAGCACGTGGCAGCGATAGCGAGTGGCGATGGGGGTCGAAGGGTGCGTATGAGACGCTCGACTGGATCTTGTGCTTTGAGTTCAGAGGAGAATAGGGGCGATGGACGGCCAGGCGGTATATGGGGTGGGATGGGCCGATCAGGAGGGTTGTCGATGTGCCGTGCAGGTGATGATGGAAGCTCTTGTCACGAGCTAAAGTGCTGTGTAGTCGGAGCCTTGTAGAGCTGGAAGTCCGTGTCCAAACAGCTGTGCTCGCGGTGCATGTGGGGCCTTCTCTCTATTCTGACCCGTCCTTATCGGTGACGCAAGTTGCGCAGGTGATAAGCGAGGAACCCCCCATTGCGACATTGACATCCAAGGCCAGCATGCCATCTGTCCCAGCTTCCCATGCCATCCAGCCATCCAGCCATCCACGCCATTCAGCTAGCCATGCGATCCATGAGCCCGAGACCGGCTTCTCGTGGACAATAAGCACTGTCCGCACAGTCGAAACACCTGTCTCAAGGCCAGATTTTCGACAGCACATTACAGTTAACTCCCCAGAACACGCTTTCAAAGGATCATCCAAAGTGCTGACCTCCCATACTGACCCAAGTCAAGACAGATTAGCACTCTGAGAGAGAACAACAGCGATCAACTAGAGACGTTTCGCTATGCAATGATTCATACACGTCAAGATGCAATTTTACTGTATTCGACACCTTCGCACTGCACTCGCCGAGATATCCCACGAATGTCCGACGACAAAAGCATCTCCAACCCGCCCTTCAGCCATGTTGTCGATAATGTGGCGACTATGAGCTCCTGCGAATCAGCTGGAAGCACCATTCACGCCCTGTTCACCATTTGTGCCTTGTTCCCTCTGCTTCAGGACAGCCCGCACGCCTGGCAGGATGTACCGCCCATAATCGACAACGTCGTTGTAGTTGTCGTACCCTCGGATGGAGATGAGCTCCGCGCCAAGGTCGACGTAGTCCAGAAGGGAGTCGATAATGGTCTGATAGGAACCAACCAGTGCCGTTGAAGCGCCGCGCGCGTTCGTGGCTGTCACCGTTGGATACCAAAGGGCGCGATCCTGCACATCACCACGCTTGGCGATCTCCAGCAGACGCTGGGATCCCACGTTCTGGGGCGCGCCGGCGGCCGGCGCATTAAGGCCGGTGCCCTTGGAGCTGTTCTTGTTGAGCGCGTCCAGCGTCCGGTGCGCCTTGGCCCAGGCCAGCTCGTCCGTCTCGGCGACGATGGGGCGGAACGTCACCCAGATGCGCGGGCGGTCGGTGCGGCCCGCCTTCTCGGCCTCGGCGTAGATGCGGTCAATCTGCTCCTTCGTCTCCTTGAGGGGCTCGCCCCAGAGGCCGAAAATGTCGGCGAGCGCGCCGCCGATGCGGTACGCATCGTCAGAGGAGCCGCCAACCGAGACGTCAATGTGGTTGTTGTTGAACGGCCGCACCCCGTTGCTGAAGTCTTTGAACTGGTAGTATTTGCCGTCCCAGTCAAAGGGCTCCGAGGATGCCCACGCGCGACGCAGAATCTTGATGTACTCTTCTTGCCGCTCATACCGCTGCTCCTTGTTCAGGAAGTCGCCCTCGCGAGCCTGATCAGCGTCGCTGCCGCCGGCGATGAAGTGCACCACGGCGCGACCCCTGCTGACCTGGTCGAGTGTGGCCAGGGCCTTGGCGGCGACAGTGGGGTACAACGTGTTCGGCCGCAGGGCAATGATGACCTTGAGCTTCTTCGTCACAGCCGCGATTGTCGCACCGACGGTGAAAGGGTCATACAAGGATGAGCCGTACGGCACCAGGGTGTAATTGAATTCATAGTCGTCCAGGGTTCGGGCGTACCGGATCAGGTAGTCCAGGTCAATGCCGGCGCCCGGAATGGGGTTGAGCTCCGTAGAGCCATTGGGAAATGTGAGACTGATGAACTCTGTTGGCATATTGAAAGAGGCGCACTGGTGTAATCTGTGTTGACGAGCCGTATAGACATTGCCATTTCGTACGCATTCGTAGTTGACTTATACTGCTATTGGGGGCCACATCCCGGGGTGCGCGGGTCGTTGGCCGATGGCGCAATCGACGTATTGCGATACATGCGGGAGCATCACGCCATGCCGCAACGTCGGCCTTCGGTCGGTGTCGATTCTTACAGGCTGATCGTTACGGATCCGAGAGGGGTTCGGGGCTGCTTGATTGATAAGCTTCTGGGAATGTCGGAAGGTGTTGCTCAAATGGCGATCCTTTGCCACGAGAATGTCTGGATGGGAGTTGATAGCTGACTCGCACAATCTCCTCGAACAACCAACCCAGAGGGGTAGAAGGGGGAGCCGCACTTGGTCTGGGGTTTCATCGAAGTGTTCTGTATAGTATCCGCACCTTCCCATTATGGCTGTAGCGAGGCGATTGGACGACTTGTCATGTGTAAGTCAGGCCATCATGCCTCCGTCAAGAAAGACGATGGCCTCTTTGATCAGTAAGGGTTAGCAACGTGGGCTAATAGCATTTAGTCATGAAATGGGCTCTTTTTTGAGTCTACAGACCATATTCAGTCTACAGACCATATCCAGTCTACTTTTTCGCTTCCAGGAAAGCTTGCAAGGACTCAACAATAACCTGGTGATCATCCTCCTGTGCCAGCCCGCTCACAACGATTGCGCCAATCGGCCCCTCGACCCCGTGGACACGGACAGGAAAGCCACCACCATGAATGGCATAGTCACCAGCTGTCTCTCCCAGTTGGAAACGTGCCTTGAAGGTCTCCTCGTTGCCCGTGTCAAAGAGGTTATGGCCCGCCCAGGAGCTCCATCCAAATCTCAGGACAAAATTCCGCTTGCGGGCAACCCAGTTGTCGTTCTCCGGCACAGTCCCTGGTCTTGAGGCGGCATGAAACAGCAGCTGCTTGTTGTTCGCGAGGGTAATGTTGATCACTGCCGCCTGCTCCGCGACTTCTCTCAGTCGGTTCCGGATCAAGACACCGATCTCAAAGGCATCTTCAGCGGTAAAGTGAGGCAGCGTCAGGGATTTCTCCTGAGCTGTGATCTCGGCAAACTGTTACTGTAAGCAGGAAGAAAGCTAATGGAGACCACCACAGAGCTATGGGACTCAGGCTCACAGTTGTCGGCGGCGTGCCGAGCGGCTTGACTGTCATGGTGGCGCCTTGGGGATTATGATGAGAGAACAGTGGAGGACGGGTGAGAGAGGGCGATTGCTATTACCGACAGCGAGAATGGGTGTCGCGAGTCAATCAGTGAAGTTGAACCTGTCGAAGGTCCCTTTTGCTCTTATATTCCTTCTTCATCCTGCACAATTCAGTACCCCAAACTCCCCGGACGTTCACTACGAAGTCATCATCGCGGGTTCATCAGTGCGCTGGCTGTCGTGTTTCTCCGAGACCCCGCCATTCCAGGATGATACTCCGATAAGGGATCTGATACCTCAAGTGATCGACTGTCCCGAGACTCCGCGGTATCACAAGGTACTGCAGATGGACCAGCCAAAGGCTTGATAAATATTTCGTTCCATCTCTTATAAAATTCAAGCTGACCTGCCACGAATTACTTACATAAGGTACCTAGTTACAGGTGCAAAAGAACCTCAGGAGGTGCAGCATTGTGCCTGTAAACGGGGTCATCCAGGCTCCAATTCGAGTGCTTGCATCATCTCTGCATCATGTAAGTCAAGATGCTAGTCAAACTGTTTGAGAAAGGTGTTGTGACTTGTTTCTGTTGATATGGGATGCAAAACCTCGTGAAGCTACCTACTCTGCAACCTCTGCACTGACTCACTCAGGCCATTGTCTGCAGGGCGCCCCAACAGCCCAGGTCATTATGGTGCGTCGGTGCAGGTTGTGGAATAAAGAGATGTGAGCCCTTGTTACAAGCGGGCTGTAAGTAAAGACTTCGCTGTGACCGAACTAAAAAGAAAACCTGACTTGTACGGCCCTGCCAGAAGTCGTTCATGCCTGCCCTGACCGGAGGTTCTTTCCACGATAGCTTCAGAGACGCACTGGGGTGGTTCCTGCCAAATATAACCTACCTCTACTACCTGGGCCCCGACTTTCCCTTCTACACCTACCTAAGGTAGTTATCTACACCTACAAGAACTTCTCATGTCAATGCAGACACGACGACAGCATCCTTGAAGTGTGACCGAAAGCTCCTCGTCCCAGTGGACCATATTTTGGCACCCCTCACTTGGAGTATGCGTTGGATTCGATTACATCCATGCCTCAACGCCCCTTCGTTAACTTTCATCCACAGGTCAGTTCCTTACTTCGGTTTTACTGAGTTCTTCTGCTTCGTTGTCCGCTTTCTCCCCTGTTTCCTCATCTACTCGGACGCAAACTGACCTGTGCTAGAGGAACGGCCTAACTTTCACTCCGCCGACAATTTCTCTTCAAGGCACTGTCCGTTCTTACAGAGCGGGCATCAAGCTATCGATTTGACGACCTTGGCGACATGAGCTCTTTCAAGATCCCGATCAGAGCCTCAGGTGCCATGGGAGATACGACTCACGCCAAGGTATCTGGCGTCGGAAACGCCACGATGAACGATGACTCTGACCCCAAGGCCCAGCAAGACGACGACTCTGTTGAACGCGTTGACATGGCCGGTATCCCTATCCACGAACCTCAACCACTACCTACACTCGAATTCGCTACAGAAGACGGATCTATCAGCAGCGACGACGCATATGCCTCTTGTGTTGGCGAAGGCTCCGACGGCGTTGCACCTCCGACTCCTACCAACAAGCCATCCATCGATGGTCTCGATAATGACGGGTCGCAAAGCTCTGTTGGCGAAGTCAGCTCAAAGAGTGGAACACGAGTCGTCTCACTTGCTGAAGTCGACCCCAGCTTTGCCGCACATAGCATTCCCGAAGGTGCTCTGAGCGACGGCATTTCAGAAGACGGGTTATCAGATACGACCGCCGATGACACGGCTTCGAGCAACGCAGACGACTCCAGTCTTGTGGTACTCCAAAAGATCGACTCATACACCGGCCATTCTCGAGCTGACAGCGTGTGTAATATTGCTCAGGCAAACGACCTGCACGCCAACGAAGATAGTAATCACTACTTTGGAAAAGCCCCTTACGAGATCAACACTGTAGAGGACAGTGCAATCGATGGCTCGTCTCATGAGAATGGGACTGACAGCTGGTTATCCGATAACGATGCCTTCAGAAACAACACTTGGCACTTTGGCGAGGAAGACGTTGATGAACCTGCTCCGGAGATTCGTAGCAAGAAGCCCGATCCCATTTGGAAGCAGTATCCTCAAGCCCAGTACCCTCGATTCGACATGGCCCTCAATCCGACTGGCTGCGATGGTACAGAAGCAACCTTGGCCTCGAGAGCCTACCCGATGCCGAGTCCCGGCAGCTTGGTCGACCGCCAGGTCTGGGTCATTGTTTCGAGCGAGTTTTCTCAGGCTGCTGGTGAAGGAGAAGACGATGATGAATCCAGTGTCGAGTACTTCAACCAAAGTTGGAGCCTTGATGAGTCTTCTCGACGTGGCGACTCTGTCGTTTACTGCCATTCTTACGACGGGCCAATGGAAGCCGCCGACTATGCCCTCTTGGGCCCTCTCGTCGAGCGCGGTCGTAACATAGAGCTCGACCAAATCTACCGAAGGGGTGTCGTGTTGCTCAAGAAAAGCCAACGCAAGGCATTCGCCTTCTCCTTCAGTGACTGCAGACCAGGCAAGGCCAAAACGTTCTATGGTTGGATCCCCCGATGGCGTATTCCGAGGCTTGTGTGCATGGGCTGGGGCGGCTTTACCCCTGCCATTCTCCATCGCCAGTTTCGTGGGAGCAAGATAGATGGCAAGGAGTTGGGCAACTGGAACCCGGTTGCACCTAAGCGATCATCATCATACGGCACGACCTTTGTCAGTGATCGAAAATCGACATTCAGCCTCCTGGTGCGGTTCAAGTCGGAGCGCGAGGAAGCTGAGCGCAAAGGAGTCACCGAGATTGCAAAGCAATATCGCAAGGCCGTTGCTGCCGAACAGTGCAGGTGGGATGTGCACACCACCAATGATTTCTGGCCGATCATAGTCCCTCCCCACCTTCGAGGAAAGACCGACCAGGTCGTTGTCGAGGTGCCTCAAGTTGTGGATGACGAGAGCATGGATGCGAAGCCGTGTACCAAGGATGTCGAGCAGTCCGTCGCGTTTGGGGGCGGAGGACAGGATTAATATGTATCGCTTGTCCCGGCTGGCTGCTGTCAACGGACCTGTTTCATACCCTGCTGAAGAAGACAGCGAACGTGGAGGAAGCTTGATGGAATACTGATCAAGTCATGGCTAGCAATGAACACATGGACGGGGAAGAGTGAGGCGGTAAGCAATACATGTCAACCAGCAAGCCACCGAGACAGACAAAGTAGCACAAACCATTGAGTTCATAGATGACAACACGCTTCAATACGTGGATGCCGTAATCAGTGCTCGCCCGGCCGTCGGGTGGAGACAGGCAGTGACACTGGAACCTAGGTGTGCAGTGCTCCATGCGGGGCCCATCAGGCTGCAGCAGCGTCACGTAGCGCCCAGGCCGGCCCTCAGTCCAGGGTCCAGATGGGGAGAGGTCCCGCGCACTTGCCGTCCCGTCATCAGTCATTCCTAGTCATTCAGTCATGCGGATTGGGTGCACTGGCACCACTGGCACCACTGGCACCACTGGCACCACGGGCGTATTGGCTCACCGACCTGTTTCCGGCAATCGGTCACTCGCCATCCTTCATCTCTCTTCCTCCAACTGTCTATCCGAACCTCATGACCCTCGATTGAAACTGGTGACAGCACGGCCACCGGACCGCAGCTTTCCCTGCTCCAACAATACATACTCTTCCTGCGTCTTGTTTTCGTTGTTGAACTCTCGCTATCGCATCCCAATACATCCAGAGGCCGTACCGCCATCACCTTTGTTATCGCTAGGCAGCTCCCCCTCCTCCAGCCTTATCTGCCTGGACTCCCAACCACCACCCCGAAGTCGACTCTGGCCCATTCGAAGGCACACTTGAAAGCAAACAACGCTCGTGTTCCAGAGGGGAGGTGGTCCCCGGAGTTTGGAGCACCATGTTTTCGGAATGTGAGTGACCTCCCGCCGTGACCTCTTATCACTGTTAGACGTTGCTCTGACGTTGTCGGGCAGATGCCTCGCGCTTCCTGGCGCAGTCGCAGAGTAGGATATCCAATTTCGGTGGGCAGCTCGACAACGGCGACAGCCCGCCTCGACAACCCTTCGACCGGAACGCGCGATCGACACGAAACCCTGGCGGCCGCTCCTTTCTCGGTAGGGGGTACACCGGCAATCCCTACGTTGCCGGCGGCTCACGGTTCGGGCAGTTGGGCTTCGCTTCCCGCATGTCCGTGGCCCGCGAGGATGCACCGCTCTTCCATAGCACGCTGAACGAGTACCGGGAAGATGACGACGAGGATGAGCGCGACAGGGATGCGGCCGACTTATTTGCACTGCAGAGGTCCCGTCGTGTGGCCGCTGCGAGCAAGCTTGCCGAGAGCACGGAGACGGATCCGGACGCGAGCCGCGGCTCGCTCGACCAGAGCAACGAAGGCAGCCACAGCCGACGATATCAAGATCGGAGCATAAGGAGGGGCATTCGCAGCAGCTGGAACGGCACACGGAGTTTCAGCGGGCGTGGCAGGGGTCAAGGAGCCATCGACGAAGAGGCGGAAGATGTGCAACGAGATACGGCCGACCGGGACAGCAACCACAGCTCCGAAGGAAACCCGAAAATGGTCGACGTCGGATTAGAGTCCCAGACGGAGTACGACGATCCCCCAGCGTCGCTGACGGGCGAGCTGGAAGACGACAATAGCCCACCCGCCTTCCAGAAGTTCCAGGGCAAGGCGGATCGGAACAAGTTCATGCTTCGTAGGGAGTCAACCATCGAGTCCGAGTACGACGAGGAACAGGAAGCCGAGGCGGAGAGCCAGGTGATGCCAGCCACTGTACCACTAGCCGAGGGCGAGGTATTCAAGTACGACCCCTTCTTCGCCTGGGCGTTTCTCATTCTCCTTGCGGCCCTGCTTTCGACGTTTGTGCTGGTGTGGCTGCATACGTCTACACGCAAGGGCATGGGTGACACGATTTACACAACACTACACGCATCCTTCCACATGCTGGCAGTCGATACTCTGATCTCGGTCATTGTGGCGCTTTTCTGGCTTGCGGCTCTGCGGTCCTTCGCCCGGCCCCTTGCGGGCCTCGTCGTTGTTGCCGTCCCTGTCATCATGGGCACCTTTGCGCTTTATGCGTTCGTGTCGAGCTTCAAGGGCTCGACGCATGGGGCGAGCTTCCAGGACCGCGCACTGCGGTGGGCCTCTCTGGTGCCAGCTGTGAGCTGTGTCGTCTGGGTCTTCCTCGTCATCAAAGCTCGTCACAGTATCAGGCAGGCGGTAGATATTCTCGAATTCGCGAGCCGCATCCTGGCGGCCAACTCGGCTCTTCTCGTCCTGGGCTTTGCCTGTCTGGCGTTGATTGTGGTGTGGACCTGGATCTGGATGGGCATGTTCACGCGCATTTTCCTCGGGGGCTACTTCTCCAAGAGCCTCGCACGGTTTGTCATCCGGGTCTCCAGCTGGTGGCTCGGCGTCTGGTTCATTCTCATGTACATGTGGACAGTCGGCGTAATCAACTCGGTGCAGCGAGCGACAACAGCGGCGACAGTATCGCAGTGGTACTTTCACCGCATGGCGGCGCCTGCGCCGTCATCCAACGACATTGTCATGGCTGCTATGGGACACGCTTTGACCACGATATTCGGCAGCATCTGCGAGCAGACGTTCCTGGCATTGATGATCCGGGCCCCTCTGCTTGTTCTTCCCAGGAGCCTGTCGAACATCATTGAAGCCATCAGCTCACGGATCATCCCCACACCCATCGCTGCCTTGACGAACCCCCTGACTATTACATACGGCGCTATACACTCACAGAACCTGCAAGCGGCTGCGCGTGGTCTCAGTCGCATGGAGTTCCTGTCGCCGGGGCGCCCGACGACGACTCTGACGCCACACGTCTTCACGTCGTCTCTGCGCGGTGCCAGGTCGCCCACGCTGCCGTACCGGCTGGCGAAGATGCTCCTCTACGCGACCCGCTTCATCATGGCAACGGCGCTCGGGTTCGCGGGCTGGGTCATGACGGCGAAGCAGCTGCGGATCGCGGCGTCGGACGGCATGGGCACCCGCGGGTCGGCGTATGCCTACATTGTCGGCATCGTCGCCAGCTTCATCGGCTTCTCGGTCATGGGCGCCATGGAGAACATACTCAGCGGCATCGTGGACGCGGCCATCATCTGCTACGGCAGCGAGAAGCTCATGCGGAACGGGAGTGGCGGGTATTGTATGGAAGCGGCATATCTCTTTGGGGAGAGGCGTCGTGATGACCGGGATTTGCCTTGACCAGGAAACTGTTCTCTGCGTCTCCTTCTGTTCCTGTTATTTTATTTTATTTTTTTCTTCTTTGTCAGTGTCCGTATTGGCGTTGGATTGGGACGGGAATCGGGACGTCGTCTTGTCGACTATGGACCTCAGCGCTCGGGAACGGGTGTGCTTTTTGGTGTTACTGAGTACCGGCAGCGAAACGCATCTAGATGGAATGCAAGTTTGAACTCGTCATGGATTTGGTGGTCTATTTGATTTTTGCTGTCGCATTGTTCTCTTGGGCTCAACGACTACATGTGGTACGTGCTGATGCGAATGATGTGCAGGATCAAGAAAAGCACGCTGGTTAGCACCACCACTTGGGACTGCTTGGCAATGAGCTTAATGCTGGTGCTTAGAGCAGAAGGACCAGTGACGAGGCCAGCCAAGGAGTCCACCGAGAGGGGCTGGGTTTCCTGCGTCGAGGAGGGGGCTGCTCGGAGATCAACCGAGCCAGGCACATGAACGATACGATGGGTCGAGTTCAGCTTCACGCCAAAAAGTGGTCTGCAGAATGGGGGACGTTCTGGAAAGAAGCGAGTGAGGCTCTGCTCTGGGATTCCCTACGACGGAGTACAGGACAATAGTCCGAAGGACAATGGTCCGAAGTGCAGTTTCCATGGGCTGCGCCACCCCAGCTTGCGCAGCGCTTCCCACTTCCCACTTCCCACCACCTCCCTCCTGCGTCCCGGGCGGCGGATGAATCGAGATGGGATCCCGCCTTCACTGGGCGAGAGGAGCGCACAGTGGCCATGGTGCTGGGGGGGGAAGCAAACCGTCGAGTGTTGGTAAAGGGACAGAAGGGAGGAAGGCCAAGGCTAGTGAGGAGGTGTTTTCACTTGGCGGGCACGCGGGAGGGGGGTGAGAAGAGCCAGGCTGGGCCACGAGGATGCAACTGATTCGGGGGCACACCGCTTCTGGTTGGCAGGTAGGTGACGGAACAAAGACGCTGCCTTCCTCTTCGGATGGGATTGCCACATGACGATGGCCAGCAGAGACGAGGAGGGGGGAAAAGCTGAGGCCCGAAGCTTGCCCTGGTCACGATGTCATCGTTCATCGTTGGAGGCCTGCACCAGCCACACCATGGCCCTGCGTGTCTGGGTGCCCTGCTCGCCCTACAGCATGCGTGGGCCGAGGGTCGCTTTTCGCAGGGCAACTTTTAGGGGGCATGAGCTGCCCTGGAGCGATGGGGTCCAGCGTGCAGCGTGCAGCGCGCAGCGTGCAGCAGCTACCTTGGGGGCTGGAGGGCGCGGCGGGCGTGGCGACAAGGGTCGCGGCGATGCGACAGTGCGCCATCGCTCGCCGGGGGGTCTGGGCGGTGGATGCGCATTGGCCGCGGCTCGACGATAGCGGGGTGTCTCCGACGCAATGAGGGGCAAAACGAAGGCCAAACTTGACGCACAAGGTGTAAGGTGACTTCTCAGTCGGCAACCGCATTCCGAGCCTGGAGCTTCCCTACTGCTCGGCCTAGGTAGGGACCCAGGCGCGGCGGAAGTAGGTAGTCCACTTCACTCGACCTGCAGGTAGCGCCTGAGTGCTAAAAGTCCGGGGGTTTCGTCATCTGCGTTTCCGCGACTCTTCCCCCCCTCTTTCTCTGGCATCATTGTCAACGCACCACCTCAACCACGGTTGCGCCAGGTCATTACATTGCGCATTCTCGTCCTCAATTTGCAATCACGATATCCGATTCTCACGTTCAGAAACCCTGTCACCTCTGGACCCCCACATGGCCGATTTCGAAGCGCCCTCGGGGCCTCCCCCTCCCGAGCTTCCGCCTGGCTGGACGGCGCGCTGGAACACACAGTACAACGCCTGGTGAGTAGTGACGGGCCTCGCAGCTCCTCTTTCACCTGCCTGCGCCTCTCGCAACATCAGATTAGACAAGACAGTTTCACTAACATTTCCAGGTTCTACGTCAATCTCCACACCAAACAGTCCCAATGGGAAAAGCCCACCGAGCCGGCGCCCCCGCCCCAGAACGACACCCCAGATGGCCCCCCTCCCGGGAGGGACCCCTCGCCCCGGTGACAACCCATCTACACCCTCCGATGTAAAGCAAAACCCCTATACGCAGGCTTCCGCCCGCCCCCAGCCCGGCGCCAGCTCCTCTCAGCCTCCCCCTGCCCATCCGCCGGCCCGCCTCAGCAGCAGCAGCAGAGTGACACGCGCGGGCAGCTTCCCCCAGCAGCTACCCCCGCGTCCCGAAAGAGCGCGGCAAGAGCAGCGGCGGCGGCCTCATGGGCAAGCTCTTGGGCAAAGTCAAGGGCAGCAGTGGTGGCGGTCATATGCCCCAGGGCGGCTATCCCGGCCACGGCTACGGCGGCCAGCCGCAGCAGCAGTATGGTGGTTATCCCCAGCAGGGCGGCTACCCGCCTCAGCAGCAGTACGGAGGATACCCGCCCCAGCAGCATTATGGCGGCTACCCGCCCCAGCAGCAGTATGGCGGTTACCCCCCTCAGCAGGGCTATCCCATGCACGGCGGCGGCTACCCCGGCTATCAGCAAGCCGGCGGCAGGAGACCAGGTGGTGGCGGCGGCATGGGCATGGCGGGTGGCATGATGCTCGGTGCCGGTGCCGGTATGCTCGGTGGTGCCATGCTGGCGAACAGCTTCAACGACTCGCAGGACGAGGCGTATCAGGACGGATACGGTAAGGTCCCCCCACCAACAATGTACAACACCCAGGTGCTAATCGTGCTGCAGAGGACGGTATGGATGACGGTGGTGACTTTGGCGAGTAAACGATGCGCCAAAGACGACAGGCAGGCGTAGTAGTTGAAGTTGGGCTGATGTTGGATATTTGATTTTCGCGTGGATGGACTGGTCGACTGCTTTGAGGTGTATGTGCGCGGCATGGCGCAACCGCTATCAGCTCTGTCCATGTTGACAATTGGGTTCCTTCGCATTTGCTTCCATTTACAAGTGTACGGCCGGATATGAATTTTGATTACAAGGGCTCCTCTCAATGATCCGTCCTAGGCATAACTGTCCTGTAAATAATGTCACTGCAAGCCGTGTCTAGTGCGCAGGACCCCGTCCGGCAGCGTACCGTCGCCCCAGCCATTTCCGTCTCCCCGTTGTTGCTTGCTTCGTGTACAGATTCATCAGACATGTCGCATTCTCGATATTCGCCTGCGAACGGCTGTCGACCATGATGGTGCGTTCCCCCGTGACCTTGCTTTACCTCTTTCCGTTCTTCTTTCCAGAGCCCGAAGCGGCGCCAGAGCCAGAGCTGGAGCCCCCGCCCGCGAGGAAGCCCGCGACGTCAAAGTTGCCCATGGGGTTACCGCCGCCGCCGCCGGCCTGGTTCGCCGCTCCGCCGAGCAGCGAGCTCATGGGGTTGCTGCGCTGGGCCTCTTCGAATTCCCTGCGCATTTCGGGGTCCACTGTAGAGCCATGTCAGTACATCTGCTTGATGCTGCCGCGCGAGCTTATCCTTTTCGTGCGTCCGACGACAGACTACAAACTACAAACTAGCCCGCTAACGGGATGGGAGAGAAGGACTGGAGGGACTTACTGTTCTTGAGCATGTAGGGCATGCCGAGGAAGATGCCCATCGTGACCATGCCCATGAGGATCATGGGGTTCTTCATGACAATGTTGACAATCGAGACTGCGCGCGGCCCCCGTTGCGGTTAGCTCGTGCGACGAAAGATGTGCGCCGGGGGTTTGGAAAGGCAAATGATGGAGCAGGGGAGAACATACACTTGCTCCGCTCGACAAAGTAGCCCTTGACGCCGACGGCGCGGACCTCGAAGCCCTTGCCGCCGGTGGAGAACTCCTTGCCCTGGATGGCCTCGCCCTTGTTGTCCCAGTCGTTGCCGCGGTACGTCTCCCAGGCGTAGAGGGAGCCGTCCTCGGCGACGTCGATGCGGTACGGGATGAAGATGTTGGTCGTGCAGTGGACGTCGAGCAGGTAGGAGGCCGGGCCGGTGAGGTTGCGGAAGGTGAATGTGTTGTGCGGCGAGAGGGCGGCCGAGTGCGTGGCGTGCAGCGTCGAGAGCGTGGCGTGCGTCTGCGGCGGGAGGGTCTGCGGGTTGAGGTTCGAGGTTGTGGGAATGGAGAGCGTCAGAGTTGTTTGGATGGCTGCGGCGGAGCAGGAGAAGAGGCCGAGGAGGCCGGCTAGGGAGAGCTTCATTTTGGGCGGTGTTCGGTGCGTCGCAGGGGACGGTGGGGTTGCGGTGTTGATGGTGAAGGGGAGGTGGATGGAGGAAGGTGAAGCGATGGAGATGAGGTCAGGTTTGGTGGTTTGGAGGTTTGGTGGTTTGGTAGTTTGGAGAGCTCAGTTCAAGTGGACCAATAAGGTAGGTGGGGGTGGATCCTACGCTGGCTTCGAACCTCATATCTCATGTACCTAAGGTGTACTCAAGATCCCCCCATGCGCCTGGTATTCTTCCTGAACAGTCACACCCAGCAGCTTCAGCGCCCATATTCTGGCTACCTCTAGGTGCAGGGACTGAGCCGCGGCCGACTTCACTGAAGTCTTCGCAACGCAGGACGGGCGTGTGCTGAGCCTCCAAGTCAAATGCCCCTAGCGCCATGTCAGCCTGGACAACTTTCCGGATCTTTGGCACTGACGATGTCCTACCAGTGATAAGTGATATAGTAGTTCTAGGCTAGGACCTTGGTATACTGACTCCTAGGCCCTGGCACCGGACTCTGGCTAGCCCGTCTACCTGATAGTCACCGCTGTGGTACTAGGTTTCAGTGTCATGATACCGTGCTTGCCTTGGGCTTGAAGACGCACGTTATCATGGGCAGCTGCGCGTTCGGACATGGCACAGAAATCTGAACAAGGTGAGTCTACAGCCGTACGACATTAAGCTTGTCTTGGAACGGAAATAGGCGGCAGTCGTGGAGCAAGGCATATCGATGTGGGGTTACGTACATGTGGAGGGCCCAGCCGACTTGTCTTGTCTCGTTGTTCTTGACATCCTCCACAGCTAGGGCAGCACTCTTCTATCGTGGACGACATCAACACCATTGCTATAAGCCTGGGTCCAGCACTACAACCTGGCTACATCTATTCACTACACACAAGAAAATATGAACCACTCGAGAGGTATTGAAACAGGTATCTTTATAGGATATTTTTCTTAGGTTATCGAGTGGTGTTTCCAAGGGGCCTAGCCTGAGGGAACACGATGCGGTCGCTGAGGGCTCAACCATGACTATGCAGAAGGGTTCGAGCACTCTCCAAGTCACAGTAGGATGACCAGAGATTTAGTGGAAACAAGTTTTGAAAGTCTCTGCCTAGACTGATTTCCCAATTGAGAGTGCTCGATGAGCAGGCGACTACTTGAATCCAATTCGGACCCTTAAGCATAACTTACTTGGCGACAGCGCTGGGAACAGGAATTGCCCTGAAAATAGAAAGCCTGGCTGCCTCGGCATTGCCGGGAGTCTCGGAAATTGCTTGCCATATCGAAGTCAGTTATAGTTGCCAGAGGGTCCGGATCGCAAACCCTAAAATCGACGTGAAGAGGGCACTCTGGACCCGATTTGTTATGCATTCCTTGCTATTGCCAGGCGAATGTTAATGATCAGCTGTTATTGAAACTCTCCGAAAGTTTAGATTGACAGGGTGCCAAGGTTAGTCAGCAATAGGATCTTCTTGAAAGTACTAAGTTTGTTGCTCTGCCGCAATCGCCGCTGCTGCTCGACATGTGTCCATGGAGGATAGACCCCTCCTCCCTGCGATAGCGAAGCTGACATTGCGCCTCCCGTTACTGGTGTAAACCGGGTGGGCCACTTGCCAAAGGAACACACGTCGTCGCCTCCTGTGATGCTCTGCACGGAGCAGAAGGCGATCCTGCCGCCAGTGAAGGCCGGAGTCCCGGGGCCCACGCACCGCGGGACCTACCGGCTCAACGTCACACACCATGTTGTAGTATCTGGCCTACGTCGTATCCTTACTATGAACCGACGCTGCGGGATCGACCCTGTACATGTATCATCCTGGCCATAAATACCAGGGCCGTCATCAGTCGGCACAGAGAATATGGACCTCCTCCGCAATTAGCGTAGCATTTAAGTTTTCCTTTCTTCTGAAGATGTTGAGCTCCCCCGCACCTCACCTTCACATGCTTCACTCCGACGGCTGATCGAATCCCCCCTCCCCTGGGTCGCATCAGGACGAATTCAAGCTGAATGAGCTGACTCGTCGTTGGTACTATAAGTTGCGACAGCCCAGCCGTTGCCCGATTTTCATGATTCTCAAATAGTATGACACCAAGCCTCCGCGTCGTGAACATCACCTCACCGGCCATGGCACCACACATTGTCCACTTTTGCCTGTCGGCCGTCCTAACTGCCTATATGGTATGGACGGCTGTGGAGGTATACTTCTCTCAGACCAAGACCAACCGACCCAGTACTCCTGCTCACTATGCCGCATCACCTGTCCTCGCCATACTCCTGGCTCCGATCGCCATGACCCAGTACAGCAAGGCCAAATACTTGTCCAAGATGCGCTCCCAGGGCTGCCTCCCCGCACCTGTGTACCCCCATTCTGACCCGATACTGGGGCTCGATTGGTTGCGAGTCTCGCTCAAGGCCATGAAGAACCACGTGCTCCTGGAGCACTGGCAGAGCGCCTTCAAGCGCGTCGGGAACACGTTCTGGGTCAATGCGGTCGGCAAATGGGTTCTCATGACAAACGACCCGGAGAACCTCAAGGCCATTCTCGCGTCGTCCTTTGACGACTGGGTCATCGATGGCCCACGACTCAACGCTGTCCTGCCCATGCTCGGCCCTCATGCCATATTCTCGGCCAACGGTGCGCTCTGGCAAGATGCTCGAGCCACCATGCGCCCCAGCTTCGTCCGGAATCAGATAGCCGATTTGGCATGCTTTCAGAAACATGTCAATCGCTTGCTTGACAAGATTCCCAAAGATGGTCAAAGGGTGGAGTTGCAGGAGCTCTTGTACAGGATGACCATGGACTCTGCTACCGAATTCATGTAGGCATCTTCCATCTGCAGGTGGTTCCAATAGTCTCACAAGTTCCAGGTTCGGGCACTCGACAAACACGCTCACAAATCCCACGGCAGAGGCCGTCGAGTTCTTCAAGATGTTCGACTACGTCAACGCCCGCTCGGCGAATCGCGCTCGCCTCGGCGTCATGGGCTTCCTGGATAGGGATAAAAAGTTTGACGAAGGCATACGCTTCGTGCACCGCTTTGTCGATGAATACGTGGAAAAGGTGCAAGCTGAGAAGCGATCCCCCGAGCGCAGCTACGTATTCCTCAATGAGATGGTCGACTCTGGACGGGATCCTCAATACATCCGGTCACAGCTTCTTGCCCTGATCCTTGCTGGCCGAGACACGACCGCCAGTATCTTGTCATCGCTGCTGTGGATCCTTGCCAGGCGCCCTGATATCGTCCAAGCCTTGAGGACCGAAATTGACGGCCTAGGTGATGCCGAGGTCACATGGGAAGCCCTCAAGCAAATGAAGTACCTGAACATGGTAATGAAAGAAGGTAGGCTCAACTCTACCAAGGTGTTGTGGCGGAACAAGGGAGGACATTGGCTTACAACGTGGTAGCTCTTCGATTATTTCCTCCTGTCTCAAGCCTCTCCCGCTCTGCTGCGAGGGACACCGTCCTCCCTGTGGGCGGCGGACCCGATGGAAAGTCGCCGATATTCGTCCCTAAGGGGAATGCCGTGCGATGGTCCGTCTTTGCCCTGCAGCGGAGAGAGGATATATTTGGCCCTGACGCCGACGAATTCCGTCCAGAGCGATGGAACGAACTGCGCGTCTCGTGAGTTTCCCCCTAATTTTCTTCCCGATATCAGCCATTGACAGCCACAGGTGGGAATACATTCCGTTCTCTGGTGGACCAAGGGTTTGCATCGGACAGCAGTTTGCGCTCACACAGATGGGCTATTTCCTCGTGAGGCTTTTCCAGACATTTGATTCCATCGAAGCCCGAGATGATCTGCCCATGCAGCAAGAGATGATGATTTCGCTCAAGTTGGCAAACGATCTCTGG